ATGATTCTATCTTAGCAGAAAATAGAGTGAGAACCAAGGACGACATTCCACCTCAAGATCCTAAACAAAATAAGAGAAAGGTGTGTAGTTTTTATATATTGATGTTCTAATTTCTAATATCGTTAGTGATATTCTTAGAAATTCCATTGTTAACTTTGTGTGTTATAGGGCAAACCATGTAAACTCGCGGTAGATTCCATTGAAAATATTGTTGCTTATGGTACGGTGTATGAGAGAATTGAACACAATGAAGCCATTCATACGGTTCCATTAGGAGAATCCAATGTACGTGTGTCTATTGAAGTTGTTATTCAAAAAGATGCCCCTCTTCCTATACCTATCCCATATGAGATGCTTATTGTTGGAGAAGCAGTGGGATTTTTTGTTGCTTGGCCCAAAAATCTTGTATTGGTTGGTGATGAGGTATAATATTCTAACTTAGAAACTTTATTACACTTTCTTAAAATTAAAGTTGACTTATATTTGTTTATTTTGAAAATTTTAAACTTAGGGAGCTTCAATTAATGTTGAATTTGGAAAATATCAAAAGTCCATTCAATCTTTTGTTTCATTAGTCGAGCATATCAAGTATGATGAAGCCATAGGCATTCCACTAGAGAAAGACATATTTGGGTAAAATATTCAAACTTAGAAACTTTATTACACTTTCTTAAAATTAAAGTTGACTTATATTTGTTTATTTTGAAAATTTTAAACTTAGGGAGTTTCAATTAATGTTGAATGTGGAAAATATCAAGAGTCCATTCAATCTTTTGTTTCATTAGTCGAGCATATCAAGTATGATGAAGCCATAGGCATTCCACTAAAGAAAGACATTTGGGGTGGAGATCAATATCCAACTTCAAAAAGTAGACATGGAGTACATATGTCATGTAAAAGAATTATTTGTTACACGTATCATGTTGTACATAAGGTAAGGAAAATTTGCTACATCAATAACTATTTCTACAGATTTTATGAACTACGAATTTAATTAACATTTGTTTATTTTATTAGTCATCTCCATCAGGTGTCGAAGGCTTCCAATTGAAGGAAACAATTTGTATTTGTTAACCCTTGTATCGTTAGTGGAAAAACTATGGTTGGGGAGAAATCAAAATCAGTGTTGCTTGCAAGAAGATTAGAGGAGGCTATGCTAGAACAATTGATTTTAATTCCTTATAATATTGCGTAATTATCTAAAACTATTTATTTCATGTGTTCAAATGATAATAAACTTATTAAGCTCATACTTGTGGCTTGTTCAATTGTAAGTACCATTGGATATTGTTAGTCATTGATCTAACATTGATGATTGTGTACTTGCTTAATCCGATTAATTCTAAAATAAACACAAGTCTTGAAATTGTAATAAACACGTAAGTTTGGCTGGTTCATGCATTTTTAAGCAATTTGAGTTATCCTAAAAATATTTTGACATTTGGAACTTCTTTTATAAAGTCCCTTGAAAATTTATGAAACTACCCAAAGGAGGAGGACCAATCTAGTTTGGAAAGTAGTTCAGGTAATCAATATCATTTTCTCTAATTTTATCATACTTATATTTATGCTAATGGTTGTTCATCTTAATCAAAACACTTTATATGTAGTTTTTAATAATAATGAAAATGCTTTCATATAGTCCCCGCAACAACCTACAAACGTGAAATGTGGGTTTTATGTAATGAGGTATATGAAAGACCTCATTAGAGATCAAAGCATCCTAAGAAAACAAAATGTGAGATAAATTCTAAACTTTTATTACTATTATATTCATGATACTTGTACATCTTCTTTATTATCTAATTGTTTCTAAATAACCTCTTGCAGCTCAATGGAAAAAAAACTTACACGGAAACTGAACTTGATGAAGTGCGCATTGAATGGATTAATTTCGTACTAAAGAATATGAGTTGAAATCCAACATGGAAGTATGATATAACTTCCATTCTTTAAATTGCTAATAAACAATTTTTTTTAGTTGGTAAGGAATATATAATCACTTCAAGAACATAACAAATTTTATAAAATGTGTAAATTTTACTACATACAAAAGCATTTGTACAATGGAAGATAGTAAACTCAAGTACATCCTAGGAAAACTCACAACCTTCACAAAATATCACTCTTACACTCAAGAGTTTGAGATTGCTTCACACTAGGTCAGTCTTGTATATCACTTTTGTATTGCATGATACCCAATACAATGAATATGAGGATGAACCCAATTCGAAATATGAATTGTGAAAAAACAAAAACTATTAAATTGATCACAGGAATACCAGTTATAGTATGGATAACATTTGAAAATGAGTAATTTGGATTGATCGAACTTTTGATTGATCTCAATTGCTTCTCTTTCTATCCACTCTCTATTTATATTTTTTCTTATCTGAAAACAGATACACCAGCACATAATTGTTAAAATCTTGGTGGAATTGCTCAACACTCAAATACTGGAACTGTGGGGGATTGTTCATTTGTTTGTTCTTTTGGAGTTGACCCATCTTGACTTGATATATTAATTGCTTTTCTTTCTTTACCTTGATCTGAGTTTTAATTTTTGTTGGGATTTAGTTTAGTTTACTCTCTCTGTTGATGTGTTGCCATAATAATTTTTTGATAAAATCTTTTCAAGGCTATGATTTACTAATATGTGTTTATATATACTGTTCAATCATGCTCCATAGGCTACAAGAAAACCAGCCTTCATATAAAGAGTGAGGGTAATATTGATAAATCCAAATCTAGTAAATTGCTCTCTTTTGTTATTTCATAATTGGAGAGTGAACCAATTATGCAGTTCTTTTTTCTTTTATTTATTTTTTTTAATTTCAAATTAGTTGGATTATGAATCAATGGAGTCGAGTTAAGTTCTTGTTTGCCAGAAGTTGAATTCAAAAAATTACACTCTGTTTAGAGTGATTTGATGAGAAATGAAGAGGGGGAGAGGGAACTCTTTTTGTTATGTTTGGTTTATAGTTTTGGATTTGTTGATTCTATATATATTTGGTTTTATGACTTTAAAAATATCTGGTTATACATTGAAGATTTTCATTTTGGATTTGTTGATTCTACATATATGTTATATTTATATATGGTAATACAAACATTTTATACTAGTAATAATCAAAATTGTTATTCCTTTTCTATTGATGGAGGAGATGAAGAGTCAGTGTGATGAGAAAATGTCCGATTTTGTCTTTTGTAAGACAAAAACAGTCTCTACAAAAATAGTAAGTATATTCATATGCTTCTAGCGATTTCTGAATTAATTTGTGTTTTTATTTTTCAGGTCAGAAATTTCCCGGAGAGATGCAAAATATGGTCAAAGAATTCAAGAACTTAGTTTTTTCAAGTTTTTTTCATTTTTTTAATATATGTAATCACAGTTAAAAACTTTTTATTAATTCCTTTGTATATACTTTTGAACATTTAAATTTCATTTATGAAATATATGATGTTATTTCATTCAATATATGGTTGTGATTCAAAATATAGTATACAGTATGTATTACATTCTTCAAATGCGCGTACAAAAATAATATTGATTATTCCTCAAATATGCCGAATTCTTTTTTTTATCACAGGTTTTATTAGTTATTAATCACACTTAAAAGATGTGGTCTAAATATTTCTAATCACACTTAAAAAGATGTGATGAAATCATTTTTTAATGACACTTAAAAAGTGTGATTAAAAATGACTCCTTTTAATCACACTTTCAAATATCACACTTTAATAAAACTTAAAAGATGTGATTAAAAAACATACATCACACAAAAAAAATGTGATCTTTATTTGTAGTAGTGAACCCATTGACCGTGGTGGTCTCTAATAATTCTGCCTCTGCTAACCTTACGGGGATTAAAATGTGTCTTAAAGGTACATATTAATAAAAACTCATTATACTTTTTTCTCTTAGGTCCCGTTTGTTTTGGGTTATAGGGAGGGAATTGGGATTCATAGTGAGGTAGAACCCACTAATATCATGTTTGTTTTGAGAGATAGAGAGGGGATTTGTAATCCCTTCCAAACTACGAATCTCCTTGGGGAGGGGATTATGATAGGCCTGTAGGACTTGCTATTAGAAAAATAGTCCGGCGGACTAGAAATTTTTTATTTTTATTTATTTTTTATTTTATTTTTTATATGTCGGGCATTTTTTTTTGAACATTAATGTTTAATTTTTCGTATTTTTTGTTAAGTAAAAATCATTATTTTATTTATTTTATTTTTTTTGAAATTTTTTTATTTTATTTTTATTTTTTAAATTTTTTTTACATGTTGGGCATTTTTTTTTTAAAACATTAATGTTTAATGTTTTTGTATTTTTTTTATTTGTTTTATTATTTTATATTTATTTTATATAAAAATAATTTAACAATCTCCACACTAACAACTATCATCAAAACAAACACAATTTTACTTAATCCCCTCACTAACAATCCCCTCACTATTAATCCCCTCACTATCAATCCCCTCCATTCTACCTCTGAAAACAAACGGGGCCTTAAAGTAAGAGATATATTATTATTATTATTATTTTCAGAATTAGGGTGGTTGTTATGCACAATCACGGTTGTGTGGCCAATAGCGCCCACTCCGGATACTATTTCGATGATTTGAATCATTTACCTTTTAGGATATATCAAGTAGAACATATTTACAAACAATCAAATTGATTGGACATTGATAGTAGTTTCATCAAATCACATTTGAATCTAAAAAAATGAATAGTAAGTGTGATTTTGAATATAAAATTGAATACAAATGTAATTAGATAAAAGGGTTATCTATATATATCCGATTAACTTAATTATTTACATGTATATTATACTCGATGTACCGTAAAAAGTAAATTATTCAAATTATCGAAATAAGACCTGAAATAGGCTACATTGACCACATAATAGTGACGGATATACCCTCTGCATGAGAGCCATCCTAATTCCTCTTTTTTCTGTCATTAGTGATATGTAGCATATTAATAGTAAAAATAATACTAATTAATTGGGATTCTTTCAATTGATGTTTGTATCTCATTGGGAGATAAGGATTCAAGTCTTGCCACAAACAAAACTTCTCCTCCCCAAACTACAATCTTTAAATAAAAATAAAAATATATATGAAATTTGAAGAGATTCATAACATTGGTAACTAAGGGCTCAGGCTTAAGACATTGATGGTACAATTATTCACAACTTGGGTCTAAGCTCAATTCCCTCAACAATGAGCCCTCCTTTCAAGTGCTCACCCTTCACTTCCTTGAGACTCATTTTAACCTCTTTATCACTTCCATCACTGTAAAACTCACCCAATTCAATCTCCAACCATCCATCGCCTCGCTCCTGAGGAACGTGTTCCTCTCCCTTGACAACTCTCGATCTCAATGCTTCATTCCTGTTAAGAATCCAAACGCGCTCCAATGATTCTCTCCTCCTTTCTTGGCGACGAAGATAAATGGATCCTCGCGATTGGTAGCTACCAACTTCGATTGAAACTTCTGATGGGAGAGAGTCTAACCCATATGCACGGCCAGCAAAATCAACAATGAGATAAGCTTTGTATAATGTGTTTGGTGACAGCATCTGAGTGTTCATCTTTCCATGGATTTGTAGCCAAGAGATGGTTATTAGCTCCACAACTTCACCAAATCTATTGGAATATGGACAATTTGCAAAATACATAAGTAAAAAAATTTCATTGGAAGCTATGGTAAACACTAATTTAGCTTGTGTTGAAGCTTTTGTTACCTTTTTCTTTTTGCTTTCTTATTAGATTTTGGAAAATGTGTCGTAACTCAAATTTTGTGGCTCAAAAGTGGTTCAAATAGCCAAAACGACGTTGTTTTGGCCATTTTTATATTGTTCTGTACTCAAAACGACGTCGTTTTAACTATTTGAGCTACTTTTGAACCATAAAATTTGAGGTACGTAGCATTGTCGTTAAATTTTTTATGTTAGAAACGAGCAAGTAAAAGCAGCATTTCTAGCATCGTTCCCATTACCATTTTTTTAGTTAATTTATGATGTCGGTCTCATCGGTAAAAATCACAGTCAACTGCCTTTTTAAGGTTGTCTTCTTTTAATATATGTTACCGTAACTCCTTACTTTGTGCTCTTTTGGAAAGTTGGTAAAAAATTAATTTTTTGTTTTTTATTAATTTTGAATCATATCATCTTTTACATAACTTCTTCACAAAATAAGTTAAAAAAGTCAAAAAATTAGCTTTTTACCAACTTTCTAAAACACTCATTTGTCTGGTTTTACTCACCTTTCAAAAAATTAACTTTTTTATTTTTTGTATTTTTTTAATAATTTCTTTTGTTTGGTTTAAGTAAATTTTTTTACTTTTTAGTTATACCTAACCTAGATACATTTAAAAATATATAACATTTATGAAAAAAAAAATCTTTAAAAAATTCAACAAATACAAAAAAATAAAACAATTTAGTATATTTTTGTATTTTTTCACAAATGTTTTATTTTTTATGTGCATTTAGGTTACGTGTATCCAAAAAATAAAAAATAAAAATTGCATAGAATATTAAAAAAATTCACTAAAAATAAATAAGAAAATACAAAAAATAAAAAATTCAATTTTCAAAAAATCAACCAAAATCCAATAGGATATTGTAACTTATTGTAAAAAGTAAAAGTCAAAAATTCCACTCTTCTAACTTTTACAGAAATAGCTTATTTAAGTTATTTTTATCTAATAAATTATAAACAGAACGTACACCAAATAATCTGACACAAATTTCTAAAATTCAAAAAATGAACAAAAAATTATAAGCAGTTTTAATAAATTGCAGTCCCAACTAAATTGTAATAGTTATAACATAAAAATAAAAAGAAAAAGAAAAAGAATTAAATAGAATAAAGAAGTAATAGCGGGCATTGTTAAAGAAGCTAGTTGAAAAATAACTCCAAAATAGATAATTCACTTTTTCACTATAATTTTAAGAAAGTAATAATAAGAAGTATGGTTGGAGTTTCATAAACAAGGTAGTAGAAATAACAAGGGGACTCGGATAGATAATAGTAAGAAAATTGATCAACATAAAAAAAAAAAATAAATAAAAAACTCAAATAATTACTCCTCTAGTTGAATTTGCAAGTAACTTTTTTAAAATTATAAATTAAAGTTATGGCTTTTTGGATTTAAATAAATAAATAAAAACAAATGAGAAAGGACCACATACTGCGTGAGAATTTTTATAAAATATGAGGGGGAAAAAAAACCCAAAATACCACTTGAACTGGAACTTGACACTTTGTTTTTATCCATTTCTGGTTTGGCCAAGTGGGGTTGGATGCTAGTGACTCAAGATTCCACAAGAGTTCACGCTAAATATTAAAATGATATCTTATTTTATTAAGGCCAAGTTTGACATCCTAAAAAAAATTTAAAAAGTCAAAAAGTCACTATCTTATTTAAATCACATCAAATCACCTCTCTATCACATCACTTCAAACCCAACTCATACCCAACCCATATTTCATAAAAAGTCAAAAAGTGTACTTATTTAGGACACTCCAAACAACCCTTAAGTTTTAAAAAAAGTAGTCATCAATAATAATAAAAAGATTAAATTAATTTTTTTTTAAGAAATTTTAAGCAATAGGTTAAGTGACTAATAATTGAACCACCCTCTAATTTTTTTTTTTTTTTTTTTTTTTTTTCTCTCTATTCATAACCACCCTCTAATCAAGTGTCAAAGTAAAATACAACAGAGTGCAGCACGTTGTTTGATGTAGTTTTTTTATTGTGAAATTGAGAAGGTTTTCATTTTAAAATAATTAAAGATTTCCATTTGCAAAGAGAAGATAATTTGAAGGAAGAAGAAACAAACCTTGATTGGAGGGAGGGTTTCCAGCACCAGTAGAGAGAATTAGTGGACCATGTTATTGATAGCTCCCTCGCACTTAACATGTAACATTTCTTGCTCCTTATTCTTTCCAACCAGAATGCCTACCCCACACACATTAAAAACAAAATTAATTAACTGTGCATCAAATTTAGTTTATTCTTCCAATAATGTTGAGTTCAATACACGTAACAAAAATTAATAAAATAAAATGGAAACAGTAGAAATTTAAAAAGAAGTAAAATATAACTATATTTTATTCACAATTAACTCACATTTTTTCTTTCTTTTTTTTCCAAATCTATAACCAAATATAATCTAATAAATTAGATGAGAAAAGATTGGGATCTATGTCGGATTATACGCTAAATTGGCCCAGTTGATTTTGTTATTTTTTGAATTCATAATTGAATTGATCAATGTGGAATAAAATCAACTCTATCACGTGACTTATACATTATGTAAATGGCCAATTATAAAATCCACAACACATGCTATATTAATGATTTATTATTATTATAAAATCAACTATAACACATGGTTAAAGCTAATTACGTTAAAGAAAAATTTACCATGAACCTTATATGGGGAATGTTAATCTATTTAATTCAAAGAGTTTTTTTATGAACCAATAGTCTTTTTTGTATTGAAAATTTGTATTTATTTGATTTGATATCATTTGAGTTTAAGTTAATACACTTTTGTGATTCATTTTTTTTTTTTAATTTTTTGATTCATTTTTGGGAATGCGAATAGAAAGGTGAGGTGTAGAATTTTTCTTAGGGAGATTGGTGGCTGAAGTGTTGGTCATCAAGTGTGAAAATTTACATTTCTACTAGTGTGGTTTTCTGGTGTTAGATTGAAGTGTTATATTAAAGTGTTACGTTTGGAAAAAGTACATTAAAAAATTTTTGTGTTACATTGATTAGAGTATTACGTTTAAAAAAAAAATAGTAAGGAGTTTTTTTTTTGAAATGTTGCTTTGGGAAGTAGGTTAAGAGCTGATTTTTTGACTTTTTTTGAAAAAAATGTATAAAAAAATAGAGAGATGATGTGACCTAAAATAGTTAAAAGCCAAAAAGTAGCTTTTAGCCAAGTTTCCAAAATAAATTGTTACGTTTGAAAAATCTACACTAAAGAGTTTTTTAGTGTGTTGCATTGGAGTGTTACATTTAGGAAAAGTACATTAAAGGATTTTTGTGTGTTATATTGGTTGGAATGTTACGTTTGAAAAAAATATACTAAGAATTTTTTTTTTTTGGAATGTTATGTTATTAAATTTGAAAAAAAAGGACACTAAAGAGCTTTTGTGTGTTACTTTAATTGGAGTGTTACGTTTGGGAGAAAAGTAGACTAAGAAATTTTTTTTTGTCACATTAATTAGAGTGTTACGTTTGGACATGTGCACCAACAACTTTTTTAGAATATTACATTGAAGTGTTATATTTTTAGATTGTTACATTGATTAGAGTGTTGCGTTTGAGAAAAAAACATACAAATTAGTTTTTTTGAAGTTACCTTTAGAGTTTTCAACATTATAAAAAAACTTACATTTGTTCCTCAACACAACACGCTTGTTTATACTTGGCTTTTGATGCAATTCAAACTAGAATAACACCTATGGATCTAAAAAAATATAAAATAAATAAATAAATAAAAATAACACCAAAAACCAAACAATTCATAAGGTTACTATTTGAGATTTATTGGTTCTTCACCCATATTAAAGTCATCAAGTTTATTTGGGTTATCCTAACTTTAAACAAATCACTGGAACTTTTTGGACAAAAAACCAGAATCGAGGTAGTCTTAAAATGCAATCAACCTGACCCAAACTCAGATTTTACCAATCACAGAAATTTTTTGGACAAAAATAAAATTAAGGTAGTCTTAAAATGCAATCAACCTAACCCAAATAGATTTTACCAAATCAACATCATCCCAGAAGAACACAAACATGGTCAGTTAAGGCACATTGAGAATGAGTCACACCAAAATGAAAAATGGTATCTTTATGATGAAATTGCCACAACAATGACAAAAGGATGTCCACACCAAAAATTAATGAGCATTCCTAAGATGTGACATTATTTAGATGTAAACTCAACAAATGAAAAATTATAAAATACACATCATCACTTGTCACTCAATTATTTAACAAAAATTGTTATGCATGATTGGTTGTAAATGTATAGAGATATATAAAAAGGGTTAAGTTATTAGTTAGCATTTTAATCAAACACTATTAAAAAAAAGTCACTAATTGTTAATTTTCAACGACAGTTTAAAATTTTATCACAAAAAACATTACTAATTATAAATTGTAGCGACAATTTAAAAAAAAAAATCATCACAAAAAAGTTACTAATTTTTAACTTTCAGTGACAGTTGAAAAAATTCATCACAAAAAATGTCACAAATTGTAAGTTTTACGATAATTTATAAAAATCTTAATTTTTAGCAACATGTAAAAAAATCGTCACAAAAAATTATTTTTAACGACAATTTTACTAGAATTAACTGTCAATAATACTTAATGTTATTAACACCTATCGGTAATTTACCCATATACAAATGCATGAGAAAGTCTAGGTGCATATAAAATTTTTACAAAATGAAGACAGATGTGAGACAATACGTGGGTTCCACACACTTTATCTCGCAACTGTGTATTATTGAGTAAAATATTTTTGTATTCTTAATAGGAAGTAATTGAGACCCCTCTAATCACCACTCTCATCACCCTCCACACACACGTGGCGAGTGATGATTGGAGAAGAAGGAAAAAAAGAAAAAGAAAAAAGAAGAACTTGCCAATCAAAAAGATGGGGGCTCAAAGGGGTGCCTCCTTCAGGGGTCCAACTCATTTTCCATTCTTAATATAACTGTTAAATGCGGGACAATGAAATATATTTAGTGAAATTTACCTTTTTACCCCCTTCAATCAGAAGCTGGCTGCATAGCCTGTGAAACAGCTCTTTCTTGGACCTAAACACCACCGGAGAAACCAACCTTGAGAGAATTTCCCGGTAATCCGACGGAAGAAAACCTTCCCACAAAAGGTCTGATGAGGCGGCAGAGTTGACAACGGTGGAGACGAGCGACGAATTACAAGCATCCTGGGGCGATGTCCGGGATAGGATGCGAGTGATGCAATCTTCTGGCAAATCATCCAACTTCATCCCTTCCATAGTAGTAATAGATTCACCCAAAAAAGAGAACAAGAAAAAATTAAATAGACAGCTGTGGAGCTATGCATGAACATGAGGCCATTTGAGTAAGGGGCTGGCTTTTAAATAAGACTTTTGTGCATATATGGAGTGGAATTTTGCTATGTTAGTTTGATCAATAGAGTAATATGACGACATAGAGATGGACAAATGAGAACATGATGCCATCCTGAATTGTTTAAGGGAGAAGTTATTCCATGCGCATGAGGCATGGTTAGGTGGTGTTTCAAAGTTTTGGTGATTGAAGGAGAAAATAAGACCCATCATTTTTTTTATGAGAAAAAAGGACAACACATTGCTATATGTTTGGTGATTGGTTGGTGACATGAGCCCCGTGGTTCCCTTTGAACACCAAATATTTTTTCTTATTTAAGGAATTTGTAATTAGTTAGTAATAATGTCAAGATGATCATATTTTCTATTATATTTATTTATACGTGTCACATTTTGTAGTTTATCTTGTTTAATTATTTTTATTTTTTTTCTTATTTTAATTAAATCAATTTACCGTTGAACGTTTGTTATTGTGTCAATTTAGTTCATAAAACTTTTTTTAAAATTAAACTAAAATAAAGGGACAAAATAATCCATTCATTATCATTAAAGTGATTAAAGGGCTGCCGTTTAATTTGAAACCGTCCAATCTCTTTTGCATTGATCATTTTATTATTAATTTATAATCAATTTATTCATAGATATGTAATCAATTAAATTAAATTAACAAAATATAAGATGTTAAAGACCATATATAAGATACAAATTACAAATATCATAATTTATCCCAAAATAAAACATAGTGTGACTTATATCATATATATATATATATATATTTTCATCAACAAGGTAAAAATTTCATTAAAAACATGAAATTAAAGATATAAAAAGATGAAATACACCGAGAGAGGTTCAGACAGTACAAAATATTTTTACTATTGCTACTCACACTCGTACAACCAACTCCTCAACGTCACGATTTTTTTAACAAAAAGAAATCCAAAACAAAACAAAACAATTAAAAAGCACTCAACTAAAAAACAAAAAAAATGAAACCCCAAAGCAGCACTCATGATTTTTTTTTAAAAACCCAAAAACATGATATAATGTGAATTATATCATATTATAAATGTGAATTGCAAATTGGCCATATCAATCCAGATGAACTGAGAGTTCGTAGCAATATCATATATTTTATTTTTAAAAATCTTTTTGCGTACGTGGCATATATGATATATGCTAGTTCTAGGAGGGGCAAAGAGACAAAAGTGAGAGAATTGTCGGTCATACATGTCGCCAAAATGTTTTGAATATATAATATTTACATTAAATATATTATTAAATTATATATAATAAAAAAAATATAGGTTGAATATAATGGAAATTGTTTGGGTTAAACAAATTCTACTACAAAACTCAATGTTATTTTAAAATAACTTTCAATTGATTATTAACGAAATAATAATCAACACAAAAGATTCATCGATCTACTTCTAATTAAATATGTTAGGTCCGTGAGTCTTGTCAATCCTACGAACAAACTTGTGTGCTTGAGTTGTAAGTTTCCTTGCTGTTTTGTCTTGCTCGCTCGAGCGAAGTAGTTCTCGCTCGAGCGAAAACTGGGTCTGGCAAAAACCTGTAAGAGATGAATGTGCGCTCGAGCGAAGAATTGCGTCTGCATAAAAACCTGAAAGAGTTGATTGTTCGCTCGAGCGCAGGATGCGTGGCTCGAGCGAAACCACTTATGGAAATCACGCGAGATAAGTTCCTCGCTCGGTCGGTCGAGAGAAGCTTCGCTCAAGCGAGCTTCACAGTCCAGGATTTCTATAAGTATTTGTTTCACTCCAAAACTAGGATTATGTTTTTTAGATCTACTTAAGGTTTTCTTCTGGAGTATTTTTGTGAGTTTTCCTTAATAATTTGAGTGAGTATTAAACTCATGAATTGATAAGCACATATCAAGGAAGTTGATTGATTACATACAAGAGTAGTCTTCTTCGGTGGATTCTGAAGATTCAAACGTGGAGTTTCAAAGGAGTTTGATTCTGTACGTAGTGTAAATCAGAGATCACAAAACATGCAGCGGAATAAAATGTTTAGATAATCGGATCATACCTTTCGATGATAAAACCTCGTGGATAAATCACGTGCTTCCAGAAAATTGATAAACCAACCCAGCAGTGGAGTGATATCACAGATTGAATATCACCCACACAAATCACAGTGCAAATGACTTTGATCGTTGTTTCTTGGGAGAGAGTCAGTATATGGGTAGAAAACAAAACATACGTTGTTTTCTCTCTTGGTTACCCATAACCATATATCAGATATATATTATATTTATCTCATTTATCCATTGGTTAAATGAGATAATATCTGATATCTATATCATCTATCCATATCATAATATGATAGATATATATCCTGAGTGGCTATCCAAATAGGTTTGAATTCAAATTCAAAACTCATTTGGATGAGGTTCAAAAGGTTCTAAGGGTCATGCCACATGGGCGCCCAATTTCTAACACTATGTCACATGGTTCAAATGTTAAGTGGGCCTGAAATAGGGTCATGACTAGAACTAGCATCCTTGTGTTTCAAAGAAGGTTTACAAATTGGAAATCAAGGTCCCTACTTTTGGTGTGTCGATGGCCAGAAGATGGTTGTTGTTGTTGCAGTGGCTGTTGTTATTGCTGATACAGCACTCGCAGCCTTCCAATCTCTCTCTCTCTAACACATCATGTTCCACTGCACAATGCCTAAATTGTCTTAGTTTCTCAATGAATATATGGAAATGAATTCCCAGCTTGCCTGCATAGCACAACCTAATATCTCTTCTAAGGTTGTGTTTGGATTATGAATTTGGATAGAGATTTAGAAATGAAAAGAAAATATTAGCCTTTCATTCTCTCTTTGAATTCAAATGTCATATATTATCGAAATGCTAATTTAAAATTAATGCAGAACAAGCAAGGGAAAGCCAATATATCCCAACAGGAAACTAATAATCTCTCTAAGCAAACAGGAAACTGTTTATCCAAAGCTAAGTAGCATAAGCATCCTATAAAAGAACAGGCTCAATTTTGGACACCAAAATTCTTGGTAACTCCTCAAAATGTGTCCACCCTTGGGCAGTGTTAATATCATGGATTTGGAAAGGAAAATGTAAATGAAAAGGTTAATGAAATATAAGCTAAATTTTTTCTCCATTTCATGGATGAGGAGGGAGGAAGGGACAATATCAACAAGGTAAAAATTTCATTAAAAACATGAAATTAAAGGTATAAAACGATGAAATACATCGAGAGAGGTTCAGACAGTACAAAATATTTTTACTACTGCTAGTCACACTCGTACAATCAACTCCTCGACCTCACGATTTTTTTAACAAAAAGAAATCCAAAACAAAACAAAACAATTAAAAAGCACTCAACTAAAAAACAAAAAAAAAATGAAACCCCAAAGCAGCACTCATGATTTTTTTTTAAAAACCCAAAAACATGATAGAATGTGACTTATATCATATTATAAATGTGAATTGCAAATTGGCGATCTCAATCCAGATGAACTGAGAGTTCGTAGCAATATCATATATTTTATTTTTAAAAATCTTTTTGCGTACGTGGCATATATGATATATGTTAGTTCTAGGAGGGGCAAAGAGACAAAAGTGAGAGAATTGTCGGTCATACATGTCGCCAAAATGTTTTGAAATGAATACACATACTGTTGGAATAAATTTTGTGTGTACTCGTAATATATAATATTTACATTAAATATATTATTAAATTATATATAATAAAAAAAATATAGGTTGAATATAATGTAAATTGTTTGGGTTAAACAAATTCTACTACAAAACTCAATGTTATTTTAAAATAACTTTCAATTGATTATTAACGAAATAATAATCAACACAAAAGATTCCTAGATCTACTTCCAATCAAATATGTTAGGTCACTGAGTCTTGTCAATCCCGCGAACAAACTTGTGTGCTTGAGTTGTAAATTTTCTTGCTGTTTTGTCTTGCTCGCTTGAGCGAAGTAATTCTCGCTCGAGCGAAGACTGCGTTTGGCAAAAACTTGTAAGAGATGAATGTGCGTTCGAGCGAAGCTTGCGTGTCTCGAGCGAAGAAGTGCGTCTGCATAAAAACCTGAAAGAGTTTATTGTTCGCGAAACCACTTATGGAAATCACGCGAGATAAGTTCCTCGCTCGGTCGAGAGAAGCTTCGCTCGAGCGAGCTTCACAGTCCAGGATTTCTATAAGTATTTGTTTCACTCCAAAACTAAGATTATGTGTTTTAGATCTACTTAAGGTTTTCTTCTGGAGTATTTTTGTGAGTTTTCCTTGATAATTTGAGCGAGTATTAAACCCATGAATTGATAAGCACATATCAAGGAGGTTGATTACATACAAGAGTAGTCTTCTTCAGTATTTCGAAGATTCAAACGTGGAGTTTCAAAGGAGTTTGATTCTGTACGTAGTCGTTGATTCGACAAGTGAAGTTGTGGATTTAACTTCAGATTAATCAGTTCTGAGACGAAAGCTTGGTGAAAGAGTTACAGAAGGTTTGAAGACAAATTGGATGAGTTGGGTAATTTTTTTATAATCTTTGTAATTTTTCTTTCTTTAGTAGTGGATTGATGCCCGTGATTTTTTTATTACAATTGAAGGTTCTTCAATTGTGGTTTTTCCACGTAAAAATCGTTTATATCGATTTATTGTTTTTTTCGAAAACAACAATCTAAATCACTTTCGTTAGTGTTTGATGATTTAGATTGTGTGTTTTGAATGATTGGGAATTGAAATATTTTAATCTTAATCTAATCGCGAATACTTAGGATTTTCAAAATAGAATGACATCACTATTTAAATCATCATGTTTAAATTTTTCAGTGTTAACGATTGCTTTGATATTATAAGAATATTACTACCACAATCAAATTACACATAATATTCCAAAAGAGATCCATTGGTATGTCATCATCACAATCAGAAATTAATTAAAAATTTCACAAACTTTTAAACAAAATTTTATTTAATTCCTAAACATAGCACTGGAAATAAATCAGTCAAAAAATAACACATA